ATGGATGATCTCATGACAGCAATTTCCAAGCCTGCCCGTGACATTTGGAAGCTAACTCTTTTAAACATTCACCTATAATTAACTAATGGTTGGGACAATGCCAATGAGGATCTCAAGATCACTCAGCGGTCTTCTATGTATTTACTGCTGAAAGAAATAGTAACTACAGCTATTGAAAAAAACACCGTTTTCTATTTTATTTACCTGAATGATGTGTTCTTGATTACTGTTTTTTCAACATTGCAAATAAATGCAAATGTTCTACACTAAGCCATACCAAATAACAGAAAACCATTAGCCCAGGGTGTTGTAGCTAACCTGTGTGCAGCACACACTGCTCTGCATTGGATTATCAGCTGTAACACTCATACTATGCTGTTAGCCAGAAAAAGGGCATATGAAAAATCACTGAAAGCTGAATCACACATTAGAACAACTAGCTACACTCCCCAGTAAAAAGATACCAATGGCCTTAGCTTAGCTCTGTCATTTCACAGTCCCAAAGTATTATATGCAGATAACACTTTGAATAATATAGTTTATTATATACTCATATAATAAAGTGGAGACTGGCCACAGTATTATACCTACATGTAAAGTTGTTAAACAAAATAAAAGCCCCATTTTAATTACAGTTCAGTTGTTAATGATACAGACAAAATGTAACAATAAAGGTTGAAAGTGTTCACCCTACCTCTCTGGCTGTAGTTGATCTTCATAGAATCATAGAAAAGTAAGACTGGAAGGGACCTCCAGAGGTCATCTAGCCCAACCCCCTGGGTGAGGCAGTCCTATCCAAACCATCCTATACAAATCCATAATATCCCATGCACCAGTACAGGCTGGGGGCTGAGTGGCTGGGCAGCACCTCTGCAGAAAAGGAGCTGGGGGTTACAGTGGACAATAAGCTGAAAATGAGCCAGCAGCGTGCCCTTGTTGCAAACAAAGCTAATGGCATCCTGGGCTGCATTGGTAGGTGTGTTGCCAGCAGGTCCAGGGAAGTGATTCTTCCCCTCTATTCAGCACTGGTGAGGCCACATCATGAGTATTGTATTCAGTTTTGGGCCCCCCCACTACAGAAAGGATGGAGACCACTTGGAGAGAGTCCAACAGAGATTACAAAAATGGTGAGGGGGCTGGGCACATGACTTCTGAAGAGAGGCTGAGAGAACTGGGCTTAGTGGCTTTAGCGTAGAGAAGAGAAGACTGAGGATTTTATAGCAGCCTTCAACTACCTGAAGGGGGTTTCTAAAGAGGATGGAGCTAGACTGTTCTCAGTGGTGGCAGATGACAGAACAAGAAGCAATGGAAGCCCCAGGGGAAGTTTAGATTAGATATTAGGAAAAACTTTCTCACTAGGAAAGTAGTAAAGCACTGGAGCAGGCAACCCAGAGAGGTGCTGGAATATCCACCTTTAGAAGTTTTTAAGATCCAGCTAGACAAAGCTTTGGCTGAGATGATCTAGTCTAGTCCTGCTTTGAGCTAGGGGGTTGCACTAGACAACCTCCAGACATCCCTTCCGACCTTAATTTTATATTAGGGCTGTGCAAAGCTTCAGTCCCTGATTCAATTTGGCAGAGATTCAGCCCAATTTGATGGCTGAATCTCCAAATCTGGATCGAATCAGGAGACCCTTTAATCTCTTTGAATCAAATCAGAACCCTCCAAATTGATTCAGAGAGATTTGGAAAGATTTGGAGATTTGGCCACTGACACAGCTTTAAATGTTTTTTCTACATACCTCAAGGTACCAGGGTGCTTGTGATTGCTGCAATGCTGGGGTGGATGGAGCATCCCACAGGAGCACGGGGAGCTCCCCAGCATGCTCGGCAGCAGACCCAGAAGTGGACCAGAAGCACTTCCGGTCCACTTCTGGGTCCACCAGGGAGCATGCGGGGGGGCCCCCATACCTCCCTGGCTCAGCGACTGCTGCCTCCTGGGTCTGGGGAGGCACCCGGGGTCCCCCTGTGTCTAATCACCAAGCCAGAGGTAGGGGGTGGGGCACAGGGGTCCTCCCAGCGCACTCCCCATCAGACCTAGAAGTGGACCAGAAGTACTTCCAGTCCACTTCTGGGTTCACTGCTGAGCACAATGGCGGGGGGGGGGGGCCCCCCCCCCCCATTGGGTGGTCCCTCTGCCCCCGCACTCCATCTGCCCCAGCATTGCAGCATTCACAAGCCACACCTGGTACCTTGAGGTATGTAGAAAAAATATTTAAAGCTATGTCTATGGCCGAATCACTGATTCTCCAAACCAGCATTGAATCTTCAGATTCGGATTTGACCGAATTGAATCGGGGACAATGATCTGAATCAATTAATCAAATCACTGTCTGCGATTCAGGCCGAATCTGAATCCAAATCGAATATGGCCCATTTCATACACCCCTATTTTCTATGATTTCTAACACAAGACACAACAACCTAACCTGCAACAGGTAAAGCAGGGGAACCATGGCAGCCAACGTCCTGCTTCTATATAAGACTGAAGTAATATACACTCAAGAGATCCCAGGTAGAGGGCCCATTTAATGTTGCAATTAAAACGATTCAACCATTTCCAAGAATGATGCTAGCAAATGGTATAATTTTGCTAATATTCATCCCCCCGCTGGAGCCCCAGAGAGTTTTCTATACTCCAGCTCCCTTAAGCATGCTTTCAGCACCAGTGAGTCTCTTATATAATGGACCATCAGAGGACCAGTCACATGTGGTGCAGCCAACCCATCCTTCTGCTCCTTATCGCTAACAAATGCCTTACAAACAGTGCATGAAGCAGGCAGCAGAACTGTTCTATTCAGGGGAATCTTTGGTTGCTCCTGTAAGGCTGCTTTATGGATGCTTGTGTAAAGCAACTACATGAGGGGACAAGGATCTGGTCTTATGAGTAAAATTTAATGGAGTTAATTTGGAAAGAAGAATTGACTTGAACATAAGGTCTAAATTCAAATCATATTTTATTAGACATGGGCTTCACCCACAAAATTTAGATCTAGATTTGAATTAAATACAATTCAATGAAATATACAAGACTGGCATTATTTGAAAATTCCCGATGTAAACTAATATCTGGGGTCAGACTTCAACCTTCCACAAAAGTTTTGCATTTGATTCAAAACCATTGATACTTTATGAAGGTTAAACGTATTTCAAAAACCCATGTCAGGTATATTTTAATGCACCTCTCTTTTTCTGGGCTCTAATGCAGACGGGGCAAAATGCCCTGAGGTTATTTCTGACCCACCTGAAAGCAGGAAGTACTTTAAATTTGCCAAGAAAAATATTTTTGCAAGATTTTCTTCTCAAATTATTTGGATTGTTTGGTGAGGATGAACTAACATTGGGAATATTTTAAAAGTCAGATAAGAAGGCCACATACTGAACACTTCCTTTTAGGGATGTAAATACCAATTTAGACAAATATCCACTTCACCTGTTGTAATTACAATGGTTAAACAATTAAACATCATGCGAAGGAGCTGAGCTGGTTTCTTTGTGGACAGCAGCGTAGAGGGGAGGAGAAGTGGGGACTAGTACCTAATACCTAGGCTCCACAGACCCCGCTGCAGCCACTTGCTGCCTCCCTGCTGCCTGCCTTGAACAGCCCAGCCTCTCTTGCAGGGAGAAAGGGTTGCCCCGAGCCCAGGTTGCTTGTGGCAGGTGGTGTTGGGGCTGCAAATGGCTACACTGAGGTCTGTGGAGCCTAACTATAGGTAACAGTCCCGCCTGCTCCTCCCTTCCTCTCTCCCATACTCCTCACTCTTGCTTGCCCTGCCACCTTCTGGTTCCTGCTGGCGCACAAAGTGACTTCCCTTCCCCGACAGACTACTCCCTGCTCCACACTAAACGATAACCAGTAATCTATAATGGGTTATCACTAGGCTTATCAGTTAAATGATTACTTGTTCAACAGTTTACATGATCCCTACTTACTTTAGGAAACCAAAAATATGGTGGCCTAAGGGACACAAATTAACCATAAATGTGGGTACAATATTAAGTTCATCACTCAGAGCCAGATTTTCATGTATGTTAAGTCTGCACTGTGCCAAAAGAGATTTAAATATGGCGGAGCTTATCCTCCGGCTACACTGGGGTTTTCTTCATCAACTTCTTCTAATCTCTAGCAGAAGAGAAGAGACATTATGGATGGGATGTACTTAACTAATTGCTGGTCCCTTGTGGCTAGAATTGGCAGAAGAGCTATTGGCAACTGGTATAAAACAGATTGGAAGCCAGTCTACAATGTATGACATACAATAAAAAAATTAAAAAACCCAGTTTTCTCAAATGGAAATAGGAATTAGAAATGCAATATGGTTATGTTACTGTAAGAAAACTGTTAAATGCATTAGTCCAAATTCATTATCTCTAGTATAACTTTGTTTACTTCATTGTAGAAGTCAGTCTGGTATAATTCATTCAATATCAGAAAAGTTAAGACAAATTTGGTTCAACAAAACATCTTCTAAAGTTCATTGGTTATTAGAGGTTGGCAAGAAATCATTGTTGAACATTGAATTAATGTTGAATGTTCCCTACCCTGCCAAAAAACACATCCTCAGGATGTGGGAAACTAAGGTTCAGTGCCTGACTGAAGGGACTATGCCTGATTCAGACTAGGAGCTTGAACTTCAGTCTTTCATACCCCAGTTGACTGATTCACCCCACAACAGCCAACAGACAAGACAGAAAGAACACCTAGCCTGTGGCAAACTGAGGTTCATGTTCTTGGGCTGAAACACGCAGAGGAGGGACTTGAATCTTAAACTCATCCATGCCAAGTAAGTGCCCTAAACACTGGGATATTGTCTATTCTGGGGCATGTGGCCTCTCCAGTTTGACTAGAAACTGCACTCTCTTCCATATGGAAAAATATATCAACGCCACAGAACCTGCTTTTGTTCCAGTCACTGGGAGCTTCACCACTGATTTTAATGGGAACACGCTGAACAAGCATTTTCTCATTATTGTTCCAAAGCTATGTTTTTCTTGTCCTACCCAAGACTGTAGGCTTCAGATCCAAGGCTGGAGGCAGCTGATCTCTTACTAAGGGCTTCAGATCCAAGGCTGTAGGCAGCCATCCTCTTACTGAGGGCTTCAGATCCACGGCTGTAGGCAGCTGAAGTCTTACTGAGGGCTTCAGATCCAAGGCTGTAGGCAGCTGAAGTTTTACTGAGGGCTTCAGATCCAAGGCTGTAGGCAGCTGACCTCCTGCTGAGGGCTTCAGATCCAAGGCTGTAGGCCGCTGACCTCTTACTCTGAGCTGCAGATTCATGATCATAGGCGAGAGATCCATAACTGTAGGCTTCAGATCCATGAGCATAGGCTGCAGATCCATGACTGTAGTCTGCTGCAGAACTGTGACGATATGCTGCAGACCCATGAGCATAGGCTGCAGATTTACGCTTCTCCTCCTTTTGGTACTGGCTTAAAGCGGATTGCAGCTCTTTGTGACGATATGAGCGGTCATAATGTTGATGGTGTTTTTGGTAGAAAGGTAAAGCCATGATGGATGCCTAAGTCAGTTTTTGCTATACTCTTCTGACTGAGGTGTGCCCAGTCTGAAAAAAGAAAAGATTAAACAGATGAGGATTCAAACCAAGCCAACCTCTCATTAATATTAACACATTATCTAAAACTTTTCCTTCATATGAAGTACAAAACACTTTGAATGATCTTCGTATGGTGTCTTCCACGTTTCAGGAAACTCACACATTAATTGATATGCTCAGAAATATTTTTATTATTGTATTTGTTCATTAATTTGCAATGTATAATTGTCTCCTAATTGTTGCTAAAAATTATTGAGGTCTTATGCGATCATCTTCCTCAGAAATTATTTAAATATGTCTTTTAAATGAAAAATATTTAAGAGGACAAAGAAACTGAAATGTTTAAATGAAGTAAAAAAAAATTTATGAAGTATTTATTTACTTCAGGTTCCAAGATTTACACACATGAAAAAATTCATTCAAATCAGCTTCAGTTTATGAGATGTTCAACTTTTTCAACAGCAAACTGAAAGCAATAAAATGTATAGTTAAGTAGAATGCTAAATTTTGGCTATAAAAAAAACAGTGGGCCCTTATTAACCAGATTCTTTTCTATGCAGTGTTAGAGAGTCAATGAACTTGCGTCCAAATTAAAAAAAAATCCTGTCAAACTCCCATCTTATTCAGCAATACAAGCTATATCTGCTGGTAAAATACAACCTCCTACTTTCCAAGTTTCATTCATTTTTATCCCCCACACCAGTCTAGAGCTTCACACAAGCTCTCTGTGAAATCTCCTCTAGATGTCACCCCTACTTAGCAGGTGTTTCTCAGAGCCTTCAGCAGATCATCACATTCCTACAGTCTCCAGCTGACCTGTGGAGTTTGAACAAGTGGAAGGCAGTTCTCACAATATGCTATTGGTTCATCAAGTTGGCACAGACAGTTGAAGATCCAGCCTTTATTTGAATAATGATTAAGTCTCCCCATGTGGTATGAAACCCAGTCAAAACCAGCTACAGCCAAAGCTTAGCAGGCTGCCTGTTTGCTATGGTTGCTTGTTGGGCTACAGCACTAGTTTTAACAACAGCCCAAGTTGCTGCACTCTTCTTATACTATGGGCTTCACACCTGAAGCCGCTCTGTTCCAGACTTTGTTCCCAGTTCCAGTCTTCTGTTCCTGCCTTAGTTGTGTTCCCTATTCCTGCTTAAACCTAGTCCTGTTTCTCCCTGTCTTCCCCTAGGAATTGCTAGCTCCTGGTCTCTCGTGTCCTATGATTTATGGATCTTGGCCCCTGACTTGATTCCTGCCTTGGGCTCTCTAGATCCTGACTCTAGTCTTTGAATTCTCTCTGACGTGGATACTGGTTTTACCTGATCTACCTTGACTGACAGAGCCTTGGTCCTAGCAGCTTTTGTTTTTTCAAAATGAAAACCGAGATTCTGTTTTGCAGAAGAAACCTTGACTCTTGTTGGTCTTACCTGTGGTTAGCTGTAAGTATGCAAGATGCAATAATCCCCTGGAATGAGACTAAGCATCTCAGCAATGAGAAAGTTCATAGAGTTGCATAACGAAGGGATATTAATTGTGGGGGGGGAATAGCTTTTCTAGTCTCTTTTCTTAGGGTGTCCCATACTTGTCCCTCATCTGGCATAAAAGCTGAACCTTGAACATTATGAAAAGAAAAAGGGATGGCTTCTTTTAATAGTCTGAAAGACAGAGAATTTATTCCCTTCTTTTTATTTCTGTTATAAAACTCACTATTTTATATTCTAATAATAAAAGATACTTAAAAAACTGGAATGGAAGAAAGAAATCCTGCTCCCAGTGAAGCCTATGGGGAATTTTAACATTGTACTTAATGGCGCCAAGATATCATCCCTTGATATTTTTAGCAGTGTTTGGATCCAATATAAATCAGCCAGTTTCTGACTTGTTCTTTTCAAGGAATAAGATAAACACTCACAAGGACTAAATTAAGCCAAAAGGGAAAAAAAAGGAAAAAAGAAGTAAACTGAATGTTTCCATGCTCACTGCCACAAATTAAAGTTTCAGAACTACATGTTGCTGATAACAAAAATGACCATTTAAGTTGCAAAATATTGACTTCATTAAGGTATTAATTCAGAAATTTTTCATTGTTAATTTTTTGGTGAAAACCTGGTCACAATGAAGTCACTAAGGATTTAGTCACTGGCTTTTGTGAAACCCAAATTTCACTTCTCATTTTTATTTTTACCTGCAAAAGGTAGCTAAGGGGAAGGCACCATCCCTTTTTCCTCCATGGTGAAAAATGATACAAACAAATCACTTAGCTTATCTTCAATGTTTCCTGTGTTCCCAATTTACTCTTTTTATTCTGTGTAAGCCTAGCAAAGCCACTGACTTTTCCAACGCATTTAAAGATTTTTTGAAGTGCTTTATAAAAGGGCAATGACATAATTGGTTATGGGAGGGAAGAAAGTTCTGATCTGAAGCTGAAACTACTTAAAAGACAGAAACATAGAAATGTAGGGCAGGAAGGGACCTCCACAGGTAATCTAGTCCAGGGGTTCTCAACCTTTTCATGGGAGAGGACTGGCCCAGCCCTCCAGCCCTGCCTGCAGTGTGCAGGGCTCAGTGGCAGGGAGTCCCACTTGTCTGAGCAGCAGCTTCATTGAGTTTTGCCCGCCGACCTGCAGCACTGCCTACAAGATGAAGGCTGCAGGGCCAGACTGGGCAGGATGCCCCCTGCCCTTGGGGCCCACATCAGTCCCCATGCCAGGGCCAAGTGAACGCCCTAAAACCTGGTGTGGGGACTGAGGTGAGTCGGATGCCGCAGACCTCCAGGTGAGGGCCATTGATCCAGTCCAACCTCCTGCCTGAGGCAGTGTCATCCCTGTCCAAACCTTATACAATTTCATTGTTAGTAAAACTGATACAACCACAAGATATAACACCCTAGGGGGACCACGGTGGCCAATACCCTTTTGCAATCAGGCTGAGGGTGCCATGTGTATGTATATGCCTATGACCGCCAGGCAGCCTGGACAGCAGCTCTTGCAGGTAAGTCTGGCAGTGAATTGAGGCCCCCATAGAGAGGAAGGGAGTTGAGCGCGGCAGGGCTGGGACTGGGGCTGCTGCCCGGCTGGGTGGTGCATAGCGCTTGGGGTCTGGGGCCACAATGCGCAGCTGCAGGGCCCTGGTGGGGAGTGGGATGGAGCCATCCAGAGGGTAGTAGGGGGATCCAGTTTCCCACCACTGCACACCCTCCTTGGGGCAGGGGGGAACACATGCACCCAGGAACTGTGCATGGGGTGGGCTACCCGCTGCGGGCTTGGGCTCCCCTCCCTGCTGCCCTCCCCCAGGGCTTTCAAAGCCTGGTGGGTGCAGCAGGGCAGAGTGGGGCTCGGTGAGGAAGCTCATTGCAGCCATTGCAAGCTCCGCACTGCCCTGGCAACCCTGTACTACTGCCCCTTGCTGCTCCAGGGCAGGCAGGGGATGTGTTGCCAGGGCAGTGTGGGGCTTGCAGCAGCCACAGTGAGCTTCCCCACCTGGCCCTGCAGTGTCATGCCATGCCCACCGGACTGCAGAGGCCCTGCGGAGAGGGTAGCAGAGCCCAGAAGCATGAGATATACTCAAAGTAAAACAACGCCATAGCTAGTCCTAGATTATTCTGGACCAATGCTTTTCCATCTGCTTCTTGAACACCACCAGTGGAGCATATCTCACACTTTCCCTAGGCAGTCTATTCCACTGCCCTACTGTTCTAACAGTGAAGTTTTTCCTGATCTGAACTTACTTTGCTGCGACTTCAAGCCACTGAACTATTTCCTAGTCTCTGCAGCAAGAGGGAAAAGGTGTTTACCCTCTTCTTTATAGCAGCCTTTTGGATATTTAAAGACTACTACCATGTCCCCTCTTAAGTGCCTTTTCAGCAACTGTTTCCTTCAACCTCTCCGCATGTGACTTGCCTTCAAAGTCCTTTATCATTTTTGCCACCTATCTCTGGACTATAACTTCTTCATGTCCCTTTTAAAATGTGGAGTCTAGATCTGCACACAATATTTTAAATAAGGCCTAACCGGTGCCAAGTAAAGAGGTGCTATTATCTCCTATGTCTTTCACGTAATGCTTCTGTTAATGAATCCCAAAACCATATTTCTGCAGCTCCATGACCCTGCAGACTCGTACTGAATCTGTGATCTACCAAGACTAGAAATAAGCTATTTGCAGGAAATGAGGGGGCTTATTTAATGGTTTATATTGCATCTGTCACACTATTTTGGTGCCAGCGGTTTTTGTTCTTCCCTACTTTTTTCAGTATCTTTCCTTCAGCACATGCAAGCAAAGGATGATATGAATCCATCTCTGATGAGGAAGAGCAAATGCAAAAAAAAGTCTGGCATTATACACTAAATGGAAAAAAAGGGGAAAGGATCATTCTGATTTCCTGCAGCAGAGAGTGTTACGGCTTCATCTTCTCCAGCCTTGTTTTCAGAACCAGCAAGGTTCATTGTGAATATTAACTGCTGGATTATTGCCCCTGTTGCTCATGGTACCCCTTCAGTTTGCATATGTTAGTGTTTAGTTCTAATAATCCAATCTCAAAAGAGATAAAGAAAAGCTAGACAATTAAAGCAGGACAATTAAAATAATTAGAAGCTGGAATAGACTTCTAGAGGAGGATAGATTTAACAAAAAAGACTGAAAAACTATTTAGTTTAGTGAAAAGACTGAATAAGAGGAGATGTGATGGATGGATATAAATTGTACCTTACACAAGTTAAATCAAATATCTCCATGTGCCACCTCCTTGCAAGAACAAGAGGTCATGCAATCAATTTAGCCATTATAGTTTTAAATGTATACAAGAAAACTTTCTTTTTCTTTGCATACACCATTAATTTATAGATCTCTCTTGTCAGAAGAAATAACTTTAGGAAAGAACTGAATGGAGTTATACATTTATCTAGATAAAAAATAAGCAGTTACACAAATAAAGATACAAACTGACATGAGATTTCAACCTTCCTGCTAATTGCCTGATGTTAGGAAGACACTTTCTTTCATAGGTGTATTATTGCATAATTGTCCATTATGAGGATTTACATCTTTCCCTGAAATATCTGCTGTTGGTTGCTGATAGGGATTGGTCAGACAAAAAAAACCACTGGTCCAGTCCAGTATGTCAATTCCTATGCTCTTTGAAAACCTACAAAAAGATCCCTGATCCTCACAAAATTTTTGGCTCCATTTTTTTGGCCCCACAAAATTTTTGGCTCCCCCTGAAATCAGGAGGACTTAAGTAGGACAGTACAGGATCCTACATCTCAATTTAATAACATGCTTAGTACCTTCTTCAACCCCATGCAGAGTTGAGTCTGTTACATGGCCATGCATGTGGATACTGGAATTCCTTCTAAAAATTTGTATAGGCTTTGTATGATTGCAGAGCCTGGTCTAGACATGCCCAAGAATCCATGTCAGAGTTATCCAAAAGTCCTAGTTTTGGGACCCTGTGCTAAGAGCTGTCATAACAAATTCCTAGATAATAAATATAGACAGTTATTCTGTGCTTATCTGTACAGCAAATACATATTGAAGAAAGATTTTATTCATAGCATATCTCTTGAGCTAGTATTCAATATGATTAGTTTGTGCTTTTAAAAGTCTGCTGAGAATAACATTTTAAAAATACTGAAATCAAAATGTTGATAAAAAGAAAACTAACAGATTTTCTTTTGATCTCAGTCAGTGTCACTTCATTTGCTTCACAAATTTACAGTAAATCCCACATAATGAGAAAATTGTTAGAAGATTATTTTCACATCCTTTCATTCCGGAGGAATTTAGACAACAAACTCCTCTTGTAGCTCCAATAACTCATGCTTCATTTGAAAGTACTACAGCTATCTGCTAGGATAGCTCAGCTGATAATAACTGAACCCCTGCTTTACTTTGTTTTGTCTCTAACTGAATGTCCGGATTTCTCCAACATGCTACCACAACTCCTTCAAACAACTGCTGAGCTCAGAAGATTAAAGGGAGCTGCCATCAGTTCGATGTTACAGATGAAGCCAGGTGATCACTTAGAAAGATTTCCTGTCTATACAGAACACTTACCAGCAGCCAAATGAAAAATGACAAATTTAAATGTCCTGAAGTGAATGAATGATAGAGAGAAAAATCCAGTAAAGTTGAATCCAGCAAAGAGGTAGTCAGGACCAGGGCTAAGGACTGGACTCCAGGGTCTAGAACAAAAATAATGCCTGTAGTCAGTGGAATGTCAGAGCCACAGTCCAGGCCTTTTATGGCCAGGAAGGCTGATAAATATAGCAGCGAGGGGGAGAGACAGATACAGATACAGCGAGCTGTCTCTATGCAAATATATGATGACGGCAGCTTCAAGCTAAGAAGTCTCCCTTTTAAGTAACCTCAATAAATTCATCCCAAAATCAATGCATCTGTCCAGGTTTTTATTGCTGAATAGAATCAGAATGAGGAAAACAAAGCAAATGGTCCCTACTGTGATCCCAAAGTACAACAGAGAAACTTTCATATGGGTAGAAGTATAGGTAGCATATTCTGAATGCCATATGGAATTCTTGGATTTCTTTTTACATCAGGTTATACTACATGATGTGCTCGAAGTAACAGGTATAGATTACAAACAGGACAGGTTCCAGTTAAATAAAAGAGAAATCAGAGAAGTAATTAATGGCAAACCTCATAAGGTCAAACAGCAGGTTCAATTAAACAGAAAATCTGTTTCTGTGCTGCGTGGACAAGGTGCTACATTTTTATCTTCTTATTAAAGATAACATTCTAAATTTAGGACATAACCTCAACCAAGGCATTTAACTGGATATAAACAACACAGTTCTAAGAGCCAACATATTTTTCTAAATTAAAGCAGTATTATCTCTACTGAAATACCAACAGAGAAATCTTCCCATAGCTTAGACTAGGGCTGATTCAATAGGGGTTTCTTTTTCTTTTGTTTAAGTCACAGAAACCTGATACTTCAATGGTATATAATTAGCATGGCTAAATATAACAACAGAGGATTCTCTAATGTGAAATAGTTTATAATGTATGTGTATGATGAATATTCTATGACTGTACAGTCAAAAAATATTTACTTCAGTTCTTGCATTTCATTTAAAATACCCATCATTATAAATATAAGTGTACACATTTTTATGCACTTACATTTATAAATAAATAGACTCCAACTCTTAGGCCTACTCTGGTTGTTTGTACCACTTAATCAGTGAAAACCACTTACCAATGCAAAGTAAAGCCACCTTTTCTTCCTACCTAGTTCAGCTTAGTTGGGCTAGACAATAATACATACCAGTTTAGAGAAGCTAGAGAACATAGTGGTTGCACTCCTGAGTCTGGTTCTTTAGTTTCATCTTTGTCAAATGGATAGAACAAAGCTGATAGACACAGCATGAGGCTTAAGTGTATACAGTTTGAAATTCTTCAATGAAAGGCAGTAGAGAAGTACAAAGTATTCTTTATTTTACTTTTATTATATTATTAATTGTACAGATCATGGGTTAGATATGAGATTCCCAAAAGGGGCAACTAGAATTTATCATGATATAATGCCACCAGAAGTAGATCCAGGATATTGCAAATCGGGGTGCAGGTTGCACCCTCTGCTCCCAGCATCCTCCCTCCCATAGAAGCAGCAGTCAGGGACTTGTTAAAATCCCCAAAGCAGGTAAGAATTCCACCCCCCCCACACACGCACATTTCACCTCCATGTTCAGAGGCACATCCCCGCCCTCAACAACTGCCACTGTCCTGGGGTATAGGGGAGCTCCAGAGCGGGGGACAGGGGAATGGGGGGATTCTTAAGAAGGGCCCCAGCTGTTGCACCTGCCATGTGGTCAGAAAAGGGGGGGGCATAATCACACCATTGCACCCCTCCTGGAACCACTCCTGAATGCCACTACCCTGCCTGCGGATTTAAGAAGACATAATAAACATTATCACTGTCTTGAATTGCTTACTGTAAATAAGATACTTATAGGGCATTAACAATAAATTCCTCCGGCTTCATTATTTAGGCAGTTAAAGTTAGATCTCTCAGACGTACATGATCTCTTTCAGGCTATAAGAGGAATGCTATTCAGCTTCTCATTTCAAGCCATTCAATTCCCATCAGAATATCAAAATACATAGTGCAAATCACTTAGAAACGCCTGCAAAACTCTTTGTCAGCATATATTTGGTTACTTAGATCATTATTTTTTATTTATTTTTTAATTTAAACCCCTGGTACTTAGAATTCTACAGCAAAAAATCCAGCACATTTTTCTGAATGGAAAATGGAGAACCTGAATTTAGGGTTTAATTTGGCAGAAAAGGCTTCCCCAACTGTTGCTCCACGGAAGCTCTTCAGACTCTTACTCCCTGTGGGTATTAATCTGTGGGCGCGTCTACACAAGATGCTATGTCACCATAACGACAAGCTATGGCAATGTAGTTTGTCACTACGGTGATGTAACATTGGTGGGCACAAACCATGATGCCAACCCTCCTGTGCAGTAGTTCATTGCTACTGCACAGTAGGGTTGGAAACAACCTGTGCACCACCAGGACTGCACAGTAATGGTGGTTACTGCACAGTCATTTAGTACTTGCTAAGGCAAATGAGTACTGGCTAAAGCAAGTACTAAATGACAGCGCAGCAACACAGTCAGGCACATGTGTAGACATGTCCTGTATGTTGTAGTGGCAATCCTTCATCATTCTCCACCCCTCTTTTTCTAGGGTCAAGCCCCATATACATGAGCAAATTATTTTGTGTGAACAATAAATTTGCTGAAAAATGCTGAAATTCTTGACATTGTTGATTAATTTGAGACAAATTTGCATAACATTTTTGGCAGAAATTTTTGGGAATTCTAGATTTATAACAGTATGAAGGAGAATTTGTTGCTCCCGTTTTATCCAGTATTTCAGCATTTATTCAAGGTAATGGCAAGAGGATTAGAATCTCATCAATAAAATATAGGCTGGGGTTGTACGCTGTCTTGCTGACACTGTTCCACTTAAACAGGTGATTTGACTGCCATCTCCCATCTCCCAGATGAGTATTTTAAACACCAGGCAAGCAATAGACACTCTCTTCTTTGTTCTTTGTCTCGATGATTAACATATTTCCTTGAATCTAAGTTGACCCTGAATTTAAGATCACCAGATGCCCCCAAGTTTCACTTGCCCTCAGTCATATGGCCACAGGAACAAGGTAGGGAGGAGCCTCCCATTTCCATAAAGTCAGTCAGTGTATAGCGAGATCCTCCCACTGGAAGCTGGCCAGTGGGAAGCTTACTATGAGGCTGTCATAGGGAACCCCATCTGCAAGCAGACAGGGGTGCACCTTCCACTACACAAAGCAATTTGTAAGATACCTACTTGGTCAGGGTACTGCCCCCTGCTACCTTTGTGGTCATGGTATTTCCCCTGCCTCCCTAGCTTGCTCCTGTGGCCATATGGCTAAGGGCAAGTGAAACTCAGGGGCATCCAAGCCCCAAGTCTCTGGGCTTAGGCCTGCAGGTAGGATGCCTGCCAAAGGATTTGGAAGTATCTGAAGCCCCAGGTTGGGGTGGAGGGTACCTGGAAGTATCTATCTGGCTCTTGGATGATTCAAATGGATTTGGACTTGATCTGGCTAATTTGACCTGGGACACAAAAAATAGACAGACTCAAAGGGGTTCCAGCCCAGCAAGAACAGTTCGCCCATCCCACCAATCAACCAATAAGGAGGGCCATTATCCCATGGTAAGAGCCCCCTACAGCAAAATATTATTTGTACTCTTCTGGACAGACCCAGAGATAGCCACTTCCAGGAGGTGGGAGCATTCTGTCACAGCAGTAAGGTTGCCTGAACCCAGGTTTATCCCTGGCTCACATGTGTCTCTGGTTCTACTGGGCACTGGGCAGGGGACAATTCTCCAATGGCTTCAAGGCTCCCTGAATGTGGTGAATTTGTCCGTGTCCCTCCCCACCACGCTTCCCAGTGGACTTCGAGGAGTGCACCGGGTACAAGCTCTTTTCCTGTGGTAGGAACCTTCCTGGGATGCTGGGAGGTTCCCCAGAGGAAAATGTTCATAAATCAGCTGTTGGCAGGACAGGGAAAAGGATTCCCACAAGGCTTCCTGAGAGTGCACCCCTGGGCAGGCTGTGAGGGGAGCAGAGGACTGTGGGATATTGGGAGTCTTCAACACTTGTGAGAAGTGTGCAGCCATTCAAATTTGTACAGGAGGGGAGAGATCTATCTGATTTGACAAGGTAGAGCTTTCCTGCAGAACTGTTTTTCTTCTGCAAGAAAGCTCTTTAATGTTCCTACACTCTGTTTTCATTCCAGGAGAAGGCTTTTCTTTCAACACAAATGTAATGCCTGCATATAGCCTCAGTTTACTAGTGCAGTAAAAAACATCATACAATCCCTCTTGTAAACTGATCAAGCTCTCTCTCAGAACTAGTTAAGTTTCTTTGCCTTCACTCTTCCTATTGGAAAGTTGCTTCAGAACTGCACTGCTCTGAAGATTAGAAACCATCATCTCATCTCCACTGTATATTTATTTGTGGCCCTTTTATGTCCATTTATTCATGCACCAATGTTGCCCTTCAAATTAACTAGTTCATTTCCTTCCCTTGCATTTATGACCCTAAATATACTTACAATGAACAACTATAATTGCCTCTAAATCTTTGTTTTGCTAAACAACCCAAGCTCTTTTCCTCTCCTTCCTCTCTGTTCCCTGCATTGCACCAGCATTGCACACAGTGTTTCAGTTGAAATCTCACCCATGCCCTGCACAATAGAATTAATACTTCCCTATCTGCATTGAAAATACTTCATTTAATATATTCCACAATAGCATTTACCTTTTCCACAGCTGCATAGCACTGGTGGCTCACAAGTAAATTATAAGTCCCTATAACAGCAGCAACAAACTTACTACGAAGAATCTGTAGATGTGGGACCTCTATGTGCTACGGTATACACAGTATACTGTTACACTGTAAACTGTATACTGTTTACAAGATGTACCATTTTTATTTTGTCCTGTATCTTCTGATCTAATCTTTTGTTTTGTATTTTGACTAATATCTTATTTAGTTTTTATTTCCTTTTTGGTAACTGGTCTTTGCTCTGTTCTCATTTACTGTGTCTAAATATTTCTCTGTAGTAAGATCTTAATCCTGACCTAGCTTGTCCTTCTCTGGGTAAATTTCCTGTGGTTGATGTGTCACTTTCCA